AGCATCTCTGATGTTCGCCAAAAACCCACCAATCAAAACATGCATACACAGTGCTTCGCGTTTCCTGTGAAACGTGGATTTGGTCCCTCAAACATTTGAAGGAAAGGGAAATCAGGAATCCAAGTGGCTGGAGTGCCTTTCTTTTTTAAGACACTCATTCACCCACACCCGCGAGGGGTGGGTTCAGCTGACTCCACCTTCAGTTTTGTTCTTCTTCTTTTTTTTTCCCCTACCGGGGACGCGGACTTTCAGTTGGATTGTCCATCCACTTGCGAGGTAGCTCCCTCTTTCCTTTGAAACATGGAAAGGCCGCGGCCCAAAGCCGATCCAAAGACAGGTGGAGTCGCTGATGGTGGATGGCAACAGCCAGGGTCCCGGTTGGTTACACCAAGTTTGCCGCGGGCGCCTTGGGCTTTTTCAAGGGGTCCGAGGACTTTAGGGGATCGTTAGGGATCCCAAAACAGGTGGTATCTCGCAAAACAGGTGTTGGTATCTCGAATGGATAACTTCGTCATTGTCGGGGTTTCGCTTCAGAAAGCTGAACCACATGAAAGGGCAGATTTTTGAACGGACCGACGGACAAACCTGGGCAATCAAACCTAGAATACCTAGAATTTCCGTCAAGCTTCGGGACACCTCAATGAGTTGCTGTTTAAGCACGAGGGAAACGTGGTCACGACCAAGAGTAAGCTTACACAACCTTACACAACCAAGAACCCGACATAGTGACCAGTTCAGCAGGCCGCGGGAGTGAATCAAGCGGGATTCCCTGTTTTCCCATGTTTCAGTGAATCCCACCGATTTCATGAGGGCAGGGGATAAGGAATGACGGGATCAGGAATCAGCATTAGCTGCTTGCCAGATGAGCGGTGACTTGATCTTTGGGAAGCGAAGTAGAGGCTACTGCCCACGTGGGATTTTGTTTCGGGCGTGGACACCAGGGATAACGCCTCCGGGTCGTTTGGCGCGGTAGCGATCGGGTCAAAGCGTTCGAATCCTCGTGTTGCTTGAACAGGATCCCTGTTGTAGTTACTTTGAATGTGGCACCCTCAGACAAGTGAGAAAAAAGTCATGGCGCCCAGAAGGGAAACCGGGTTCAAGTTTTGCTGTCTGTGTCCTTTCCTGGGGGGGAAACAAACAACTGAAAGATCCATTTCAAGTCCAGGTACCAAGAACCGACAAAACAACTGGCATAGTCTATTGCTGGTTTCGGAAGGGCATGGGGGCCAATCCAAAAAACAGGCGGCCATCATTTTTTCCTATGTCCTTTTGAGGAAGCAAGTGATTCGTCCGAGGCTCGGGTAATCCTGGGTTCTCTGACTTAACCTGGCCCTGGCTAGGGGCTTACCAAAGGGTCCACAAGGCCGAAACACGCTTTCCTTGAAATGTTTCCCAAAATTGGGGGTGCCCTCTTGCCGTTTGGAGGTGCTCTTTTTAGGCGAACACACACACACACACACACATGGAGGGTTGGGCTGGTTCTTGCCCTTTTTGGCGTCGAAATGCAGGGGCACCACCCGGAACTCGCCTCGCTATCGCTTCGGTGCCTCAGGCACAGCGATGCAAGAGCGAAGGCCGGACTGGGGCCGCGGTCGCTGACGCACCGGAGATCCATTTCAACCTCCGTCTAAGGATGCAAATGGTTGGTTGGGGACCAGCGGGGGGTTTGATTTCCCATGAGAGACGCTAACAGGGTTTGGTGAGGGTAGTTTCCCGGTTGTGGTCACTGACCGGGTTTCGCGCACTAGCTTTTTTTTCTAAGAGAGGTATCCGGAGGATCCGTCAAACAAGTTGGGCCGAGAGGGGGATTGAAAAATCGAAGCAACCTTTAGGAAGTGGCATTGCAGCCAAAAGGTCCCACAAGCGAAACCTCAAACCCAGATGGGTGCAGCTCATTCTTTTGGATGTCTCTGGAATTTGCTTGGGATGTGAACCGATCGAGAGGCTGGGCCTGTGCCAGCTCATCGACCAGATCCAGGAGCGCCAGCTGCAGGCACGTTGCGCAAGTCCCGTCAAGTGAGAAACGGCTCTGCTGTTGGTTCATGCTTAGATTGGAGAATGACAGCAATGCCATGTCTGTGTGAGGGTGTTTTTTCGTTCATTTGCAGGGGGGTGTGAGGAACGACATGCTTGCCGAAGGTTGGGCAAGCGAAAGCCGAAAGATATTTGAGCTTCTTTGGGCCCAATTCAATGCCTCTTTCAAGTCTGAACAAGCACCTAACAGGGTGGATAAACCAAAGACATTTGCGGGGGGTTGAGGGGAACACATGGTCGTGTCTGTCCAGACATCGCCTTTTGCCAGCACTCCCGGGTTTTGCACAGATTTGATGCCATCTTGCATGAAGACCTCAGAGCCCCCATACATGAAGGTGATGAACCTGATGTAAAGCAGGCTTTCCGAGCCATTTCCCTTTTGGATCCTCCATTTCGTGGCGATCGTTTCAATGGACACCGGTAGATCGATCAACTTTTGGTCAGAAATACAGCCTTCCCGCCTGTAAAACTCCCTCCCAGGGTTTTTGTGGACTTTCAGCTTTTTGGGACGACCAGTTGAGTGGAAAGCAAGTGTTTTGCCTGCATCTGATATGCGATATGTGGCTGGCCTGGGGAGTGTTGATGTGTCACTGGCGCAATTAGTTGAACCATCATACCCCTTACTCCAAATACCATCTTTTTTCAGGGTATCATGTCGACCCTCTACTAAAAAAGGAGGTATTTACCAAAGCCAGGCTTTCCCAAACATAGCCTGACAAACGCGGGTATTTTGAGGGGTCATCACGTGTTCGGACTTTTCTTGGCCAGTGAGAAAAGGGGCGGACCGCGAGTCGCGAGTGCTGTTGGGACAGGCTGCGGACAGCGAGTGGCGCGGCGTGGACTTCGCCCCGGCCTCAAGCTCCGGGACCGCGGCCGATGGCTTTTTCCGGGACCGAGGGGCGTTTTTTTTTTTTTTGGGGGGGGTGGCCCACCAAAAAAAACAGGGGTTGTGGTTGAGCAGAAGAGAGGGTCCATTATTTTAAGATCCTGTTCACTTCGGATTACTGTCCAGGAGAATCTGTGGTTAAGTGGAGCAATGAGCCATTGAGGGTGATTCCTTTGATTGGCGCGGTCCTTCAAATTCATCCGAAGTTGACAGTATACCAAAGTGGGGGTGTCCTTTCTCGATCCTGCTTCTAGAATTGGTCAGGGAAAGCAAGAGATTGCAAACTTCTTTTTTTGGATCGCTATTTGGAGACACGGCACTAGTGGGGTTGTACATCCATTTTGACCATCCCTCCCAAATTTGTTTGTGTGTGTGTGTGTGTCCTCTTTGTCTAAGAGCAGGGAGCCTCGTTGGAAACCACCTCGGCCGGCCGAAGTGTTTGTAGCCCTGGCCAGACGATGATTAAGTTCACCGGCGAGCGGCTCGCACCGAGGATCACTTCATGGCTGGGTCCAGCAGTGAAGAAGAGGCACGCGCTTCCAGAGACCTGTTTCGAGCCACGATCTTTCTGAAGTGATGTACGGAAGACTGGGAGTTGACCTGCAGGGGCGAGAGTTAGGTCCGCAAGCCCACAGAGACTTGCTAGGGGCGATCGATACGTGGGGCAAGTAGCGGCAATGCTCCAAAATTTCATGGAAAGGGCGACTCACCGCAATGGCTTTGGTCCAATTGGTGGGTTTACCCATCTGAGACTCGCCTGACGTGTCGCTCTAATGAGCAAGAAGCCTCCAGTCTGCTTGATGCCTCTGTCAGGAGGAGGCCGAACAGTCACCGACCGAGACTGAGGAGAGCGAGGAGGAGGCATGATTGAACCATCCTGGGTGGGTGGTCGACCACTGCCATGGCCTTAGAAGCCTTAGCCTTTCAATCCTGCGTTCACAGGATGCAGAGGAGGAAGAAGAGGAGGAGGAGGACACCCTTCAGGGGAACCAGGTCGCCCGGTAACGACCTTGCGGCTCGGGGGTGGGGCCGGCAGCCTTGCCACCACCATTATCCCCAATCTTGTTTTGGTTTGAGATCTGGGAAAGACCGATGCTTCACCCTTGCAAGCCGCTGCCATTGAAATGACCGCGAAGCCACCATGAGGGTCCAACTTGATTTGACATATCCCTATTCAGAGAGCCTTCCCGAGGCTTCTTTGTACCTTATTTGGGAGATTCCCTTACTAGCCAAGACCAGAGATCCATATGTTCCCGTCGTTGCCATGGCACCCGGACCTTTTAAAGGAAACTTGTCTTTCACAATCGACTCAGGTTCCATGGAAGAAAAGGATACAGTTTGCGAACTGGTGCTGGGGATCCATCACTGAGGGACACCCTATGAAAATTAGCCGGTGGATGATTCTCAATTTTGAACTTGCAACTTTAAACCTGACCACGACGGATTCCTAACCGGCAAGTTGGGCCCAAACCGTGCGGAATTTCGCAGTCAGGAGCTGACCACGGACGAATCCTTGGGCAGCAGTGAGGCCGGCACAGGTCAAAAAGGGAAACCACGTGTTTTGTCTCTCACCCGCTTGCATTATGGATCTAAAGCAGTTTGCTCCGTCCCAACTGCCAGAGCTCTAGTGGCAGATGGCCCGGTTTGACCTCTCTTGACCAACGTGACAAAGACGCCCCAACCATTTAGGCCTCATGTGGTCATCTACTGCTTGGGGAGGATGAGGGGAGCCCCTCAGAGACCAGGAAGGCTCAAAGGAACCTTTTGATCAGGACGCCGAACCTCTTCAGCTTTTGGGCTTGCAACTCCGATATCTTGGATCAACGCCTCTTGGTTCCGCTCCCTTCACCAACCCCCGTAGGATGCCAAGGGCCCGCGGCCAGGTATCTGCGCCAGTGGCAGGAGGCAAGCTTTCTCGAGCGGGAAAACACATGCAGCGCCGATGTCCGTCTTGGGGTGGTTTGGGGGTGCTGGACAGAGTCTCAGATCTAAGAGAGTTGTTTACTTGGTTTTGGTTTTGAGAGATGGCATGGCGCGTACCCCCCTTCCCGGACTGGGGGCCTCCAACGCAGGAGACAGAATGGCGGCCAGGAAGGCGTGGCTCGAAGGTTTGTTCCGCCGTCGTTTGGACCTTGGAGTTTCTGTGGATGGATTAGGTGGGGTGGAGGCCACAGGTGAAGCCTCGTTTCAAGTTTTCAGGGAGCCATGGCCGGGTGCCTGCGAGCCAGGAGTGGGAGGTGTCGAAACTGGGGACTCTTTTGGGATGGGTTTTAAGGGAAGCCGGAAGGACAACCACTTGGAATCCTCTAAGTTTGTTTCATGTACTCGTCCAAGAACCCTTTTGGCAAGAGTTGAAGCGCAAAGTTCTTTGACCACTCTTCTCCTGATGGAACCTGCCAGAAGGTTCTTTCTGCATGGTGGGTTCCCTATATCACTATTTCTCTTAGGGTCTGAGCATCACTTGATGTGACAGTTTACAGTGACGACTTCTTGTTTGTTGTCTGTTGGTTTCTTGAGGTTCCTGTTGGAGAGTTGGAACCCTGTGGTTCCAGTGCGCTTCGCAATGGCTCTTGGGTTTTGCCCCCAGTCAGCCAGGTGCCCAACGACACACTGTTTGACACGAAAGTCCTTCATGGGGCCACCAAACGGCTCAAGTCCATGCGCACTCTGCACGCTGGCGCCCGAGCCGCGTGAGGCTGTGCGCTTGGAGCCACCCGTGTTCGGTGCCGGCCGCAGTCCGTTGGCGATGTGTGGATGCTTTGACGGTATCGAAGGTGCCTGAAGCATGGCATAGATTAGCCATGCCATACCGTCAAACTGGTTGTACAGGGGGTATGAGTCAAGATTGCCTGAAGGGGCAAGGTAACCTCCGGCAAGTGGTTAGTAACCCGTTTTAAACCCGAAATCCGCCATGGCTTCGGTGGGTTCCCACTCTCCGCAACAGATTTGGTGCAGCCGACCGCAAATTGCTTTGTCTTTTCCTTTGAACACCATCCAGAAAGGTCCCGAAAATCAAAGACACTCCCAAGCCAAGGCAGTTTAGTCTTCTTGTTTGCCCCATGTCCAAACTAAGACTCGTGGGAGCTCACCTAGCCTGTGATGCTTGAATAGGTTTCCTCACCTGCATCCAGCTGCAAATCCACCGGCGTTTCTTGATGCAAGGACAGGTGGGACAGGGAATGTCCGCCGATCTGACTGGCGAACATTTGGGTATGGCTCAAAATTAAGGAGCTGGGGTTACCCGGGTTTTAGTCTTTGGCTCCATTTACCAGGGTGCCATTTTGGTACCACTTTTTTGAGCCACAGCCATTTGGCTATGATTTCAACCAGGGAACTTCCAAAGGCCCCTCCAAAGTGATGAGTCGACACAAACTCGCCGCCTAAATCACCAAAGGGCCCCGCATTGAAGTTCATGCCCATTTGAAGATCCGAAGCAGCAAGTTGGCGCGCGATTTTCCTGTGTTTCTTTCTATTTCTTTCTGCTTTTGGATCGGATTTGGAGGGGCTAGACTAAAATAGGCGACCATTCTTCAGGGGAGGATCCGGATCACTTTTGGGGGAGCTGCGCCATGTTTGTCGAATACCAAGCAAAGGGTGACTTGGAGCTTTTCGAGGGGGAAACCAATATGGGGGTTGATCAATATTCCTCTTCCCCAAATGACCATGGGTAACGTTTCCCATTTAGTGGGAATTGTCATTGTTTCAGTGGTTTTCCTCAATCATCCCCTGTAAGGACCTGATGATCACCCGGCATACGGGTTCTCGATGTCTGCAACCTCGTGCCAACCCCATGCAGATGTCGATTCTCTCTCGCCCTAGGCGGCCCGCCCCGATCCTCCGGCGCGAGATCCTCCCAGGCGCTTCATGCCCAGCGCTTCCATCGTCTTGCTGGTTCTCAGCAGGGAATGAGAAATGGAACGACCTCCACAAGCCATCCCCTATGGTTGCCTTTAAGGGAACCCCCAGGTTCACTCCCGAATTCCCTGGGAAAAAAAACTTGGTTGCCAAGAGGTAGCAGGAAAGTACCAAAAAGGGGCAAAGAGCCAAAGCAGTTGGAACTTTCCGTGGGTTTGCCCGCACTGAACCACTTGCCCGATACATTTTGGGGGCCGGGTCCTTTGGCTGCGAGACCCTCCGCGCCATGTGTCCCTTTCGGGAGGTACCCCGTCACTTGGGGCTTGTTTCCTGTGCCCAAGTCCGATCGGCCGGTTTCCTCCACCGATCGGTTTACCGGGATCACAAATGCCGGTAACTACCCAGCCACAAGCATGGACTCGCAATGAGCATGGTTGGCGAGGTTCTGCGACCACTGAGGGCGCAAACTCTATCCAAACTGATCCTTCTGGGCAAATTACATCGTAGCCTGACATGAGTTCGCACCTGGCCCTTCCAGAGAGATCTCTTTAAAGTCGGCGCAGGCGAGCGAGGAGACGCGGGGCAAGCCGCGGCGAACCCAAGCGGTGCAGCTGCCTGACTTTCAGACTTTCAGGGATGGAGCAAACCGCCCCATTTCGCAGGGCGGGGGGGGGGGGGGGGTTGTCGGGCGGTGTTGCCTTTCGTGTTTTGACCCCCTTGTAAATCCGCTTTGCAATAGGTCCTGTATGGGCCAAAACAACAGCCTGGGCACGTAATCTGGCGAGTGAAGCCACGTGCCCATGTTATTTCTCCGCTGGATGCGAATTTGTTTTCTTAGTCCCCCGATCACTGCGGGAAGCACAGCTCTGAGCTGCCAGGCCCAAGCTCTGCTCCCAGAGCAAGTCCTCGAGAAGGCGTGGCATATTTTTTTTTCGCGGGCGGAAGATGGCCGACCGGATTGGGTTCCCACGGTCTAATTAATTAATGATGTCATCACGTTTGGATGCTGCGGTAGGCTCAACCATTTTTTCGAGCGCATTGTCGGCGCCCACCATTGGGGGCTTGAGGACATATCCTCACGCCCGATGTTTGACACGGATTTGCATTGGCGGAAACACACTTGGTTGGAACTGCATTGCATTGAGCATGGGCATGATTTAATTAGTTTAAAAAAAGAGCTGGGTGCAGACTAGGGTCCCAGTGGGAAGGCATGTCATGACGGTTTTGTGATGGCCGACGAGACCAGAACAAATAACATGGAAGGAACTTCACAGGTAGCCTGCACTCGGTTTTTGAAGGCAAACTGTCGCTTTGGCACGCAGACCGCTGGGCAGTGATGCCAATGCTGCGAACATGGGATGGTGAAAGAATTGGGGTACTGACCAACTTCCCAGACGACGTGGGCCGATCACATGACTCACCAAATACCTATTGAGGGGCACTTGGACCCTGTCGAATTATGATATGAAGAACTCACCCTGTACGAGCTCACGGCTCACCCATGAAGGTTTCTTTCCTTTCCGGCCCAGATGCCCTGGCGGCTTCTGCGGTGCGGATGCCAAGCGTCTCAAGGGACCCCATCCAAGTGGCTGGTTTCGTGGTGTCCCGAATAAAAGGTAAAGGGGTCCACGTCTGTTAACACGTTTGTCTATTTGTTGACCGGCAGTGCAACAGGCCTGACCTTGAAGGCCTTCAATGGCGATATTGACAAAGGGTCACACAATCACTTTATGCCTCGTCATTCAGCCGGTCAGTTCTCGACTACGTTTTGTGCCTTCACAAGAATTCCGCCCCCTTGCTCACACCCGGTTGCAACCCGTACGGGTATGAACCCCCACGGGGCCCCTGAAATTGGGGAGGATCATATAAGAACAAGCCTCATGTCGTTGCAGGCGCAGCCCCCAAAAGATCACAGCTCCAAGGCTCCAAGGGGCCTAGTGGGCAGCCTAGAAGGCAGTGTTCCTGCCCGTTCATTCGTTGGTTTCTTGGAACAGAGCCCAACCTGCTCAACCGAACTGCGCTGAGTCGCCAATCCTCGAAATGAGGATCAGCATTGCCGTCGCCCAGCAGCAGCTGCTGCGCTGGCGCGAGGCAAAGAAATCGCAACGCGAGCGACTCGAGTCTCGGCCAAGGAGGTTTCCTGGTAGAAGCTCACCGGGAGCGGCGTTTTTGGATTTGAAGAAACACCCGCAAGAAGCAAAGGATTTGTGCTTGCCAGCCACATCACTAGTTGCAAAACATCCCTGGGTAGCGTTTCACAGGCCCCAAGACACAATTGCTCCGCACGGGGAAAATGGTGTGTACAGTTTTGCCATTGCGATGCACTGGCATGGTTTCCAGAACATTCTGGGGGCCTGGGGGAAAGCCCCTTAGATTGCCCAAGAATTTGAGTGAGGAGCTTGTTTCGACCATTGCCGGACCTCGAAACGATGAAGCTGCTCATGGAGCAACCGGGATGGACCCACCGGCCAGGTGATGGAAGAGCTGGCCTGGGGCTCAGATCGCAGAACAAATCAGCCTGGATCGCATCCCAAGTCAAGGGTCAGCTTCGAGTTGGTGGCTTGGATTCTCCTTGGTCTCATGTTTCTTCCAATTGTCGAAGGGGAAGCTCCAGCCGGCAAGATGCTGCTTTGCCTCAGTGTAGCAAGTTCATTCAGCCGGATTGCGCAGAGTATGTCCGGCAAGTGTGTGTAACTATTTCCGGGCATGCTTTTTGGGTTGGTCCAAAGGGAGATTTGGCTGTGGGTCAAGACCAATGGTACCGTTTTGGGGTAGGTGCACCACCCATTTTAGAACCTATTGTAGTGGGGATTTGGATGTTCACTGGGGGTACGATTTGGATTTTGACCCATGGCCATTTGAGCTTTGAAACCCACTCAGGAGCTGGAGAGGCCCGAGGGCCACGGCAAGGAAGCGCTCACCTCCTACCGCTGGCTCACCACCCTCCGCGTCGCCGCCGTTTTGAGAAAGCGGAGAGGGAAGCTGAGAGGGAAGCAACGAGCAACGTTTGAACCGGGTGTCTGAGAAAAAACAGTCACCCCCAAAAGGCTTCCCGTTACCAGGGTTAATGGGGTGGGCTCTCGGACCTGAATCGTTTTCCATTTTCCCCATAGGGCCTCCCAAGCCAAAAGCTCAGATTGTCAAACATACGAACTTTCTCACACACGCTTTCCTTTCTTTTCAGCTTGATTAGCACGTTACAATGTCAGCCACGTCAAGCCAACAAGAAAAAAACATGTGAACTTCTTTGGGTGACATCAGTTTTGACGCCCTGTGTCGGTGCTGCCAGGGCACTATATGCGCTCCAAGCAGGGCAGCGGCGCTCCGGAGTCCTATGTGGATCGAGGTGGCTCCAAAAGCCATGGGCAGTGGACAGTTTTTTTAAAGCTATGAGATGTCGTTTTGCTTGAAACGACTAAAGGGGACTCTCAGATGACGATTTGCTCAAACAATGTATATATAATATATGCTATACACAAAAGTACATATGTGCGCACACATGTAGCATGGTAAGTCGAGCTTGGTCTCGGGGACTTATTTGGCTGTCGGCAGGGTTGAGGTTCACCTCGGAAAGATCGGGAGGGCCGTGCAAATCCGAGGAATCCCCCTGACATGAATTAATCCCTCCCTAAAATGGGGACTGCATCTGACTAGTATGCGACTCCGGATTAATCTGAGGTTGACATTACGAGACCAGCTGGACCACCTCATCCAGCATCATCCAAAAGCGGGTCCCGAATTCACGGTTTTCAACTGTAATCATGACAGCCATGGTCTGGGCTTGGAACCCTTAAGGGGGGGATCCAGGCTGTGGAACAAGCCTACTAAGTCCTTTGAGGCTAGAGTTGTTTTTGTCACTTTCAATGTTTGCAATTCCCACAATAGCAGACGGGGTTTCCTTTCATGCTTGCGTTCCAGAAGAGGGGATTCTCTTAGACTACTTTGGAAAGATGCATGTGGCCAGGCAACTCGGGTCGGGGAAAGGTAGGCCCAGCTTAAGACAACGCGCGCCAGGCCAGTACGTGCTGTCCATGGCCGGCTTCGATCTAGGCCGACGGGGGAGAGGGCGAGGGGAGCACATTCTTGCGACCGTGAGGCGCTTTCTTTATGTGCTTGCCTTGCTTGCTTGCTTGCTTGCTTGCGTGCGTGCGTGCGTGCGTTCGTGCTTGCTTGCTTGCTTGCTTGCTTGCTTGCTTGCTTGCTTGCTCACTTGCTTGTTTAATCTGAGTGAGGGTCTTCTTTTCCCATGTCTGCGTGCTGGTGACGCCTGAATGCGTGCTTTCTGCAGCCGCAGGTGGAGTAGCAGTTGCATGAATGGTGTCGCATGAGTGGAGCCTCCAGAGTTCTTGGTTGCCCTTTGACAAATGACCGGAAAAAAAAGAAGAAACAACTGGTTGGTGGAACCATGACAGTCGCGATCGTTTCCAACCACTCATTGGTCAACAGTTGTTAACTTTTTGCCGGGGGTCACTTGGCCAACCCGGAATTTCAATCATCGAATCAGTACTCCTTGGCGATTTGAATTTGCAGCTTGCACAGGGTGCCCTCTTCTTTGCAACAATCATTTGGTTCACTCCCAGCACAAATCCGAACGGGCTAGGGACCTAGGGATCCGGTGAAATCCCTTTTTCCGTCTCAACAGCCCTTTGTCTTCAAAGGACTAAAGGCAAAACCAGGGCTCAAATTGGGTCCAGGCTTGTGCGCCCCGCCACAAGCGCTCGCCCTCGCAGAGCCGTCATGGCTCGAAAGAAACTTCCAGTTGTTTGTCCATAGTTCAGCGAGCGCCTTAGCTGACTTCCAACGAGCTCAAAGACAGGGAGGATACCAGGTAGCTATGGAGAACTGTGGTTGGGCCCTTGGATGATTCACAGGGATTTCTTATTGCTTTTCGGACGTTGGAATGCCAGTCTGACGGAAGCCAGGAAGATGCTTGGGGCATTGGCGCGCTTTCTTTTTTGCCTGGGACGCTCAAACAAGACGCCGCTGACTTGTGGGGTCCTGATTCGGTCTTGTTTTCGTCATGATGTTGTTTGTAAACCTCTGGATGTGGTGTTGTTCTTCAGGGGATGGTAAACATAGGGCTGCCTTTTCTTACCGTTTTGCTGTAATGCGGCCTTGTGAGGCGGTCGGGTCCAAAAAAGAGTTATCATTTTGTGTCGCCATGACTGGCACTGGGACCGGGACCAGATTGCGCGATGACTGAGGTCCGATCATGGGTGGCAGACGAGGAACCACATTCTTATGCTTTTTGCGCCTGGGGCAATGCAATGAGATGTGAGCGGCCAAAATACTCTTTGTAAGTTGCTGTAGCGAACTCGCGCTGACGTTGGGCACACTCAGCAAATCATGGTTTGAGGCTTGGAACACACTCAACTCCGGACATAAGTCATGTTGCTTGGGTGTTAAAAGCCAAGCAACACAAACAGGGCCCCCTAAGGGTTCCTAATTTAACTTCACACCTGCAAGTGCGTGAAACCGAGCAATTTTTCGTTGGGGCCGGCAGCTTGCTGTTGGCTTAAGCTTTTGCCTGCGCTCACGTACCCCAGAAGAAACAACCCCCCCCCCAGACCTCCCCAACAACGAGTTTGTCTTTTTGTCTCAGTTTTGCCACACGAAAAGCTCATCGTTTGAGCCCTTCTTTCATGTGGCCTGTCTTTGCGTTCTGGTCGCCGTCTCCGAGACATTTGGCGCTCGGGACGCCGGCGAAGCAGTACCTCCAGGCACGGGCCGGGCTTCCTTCGCCCCCCCATTACGACCATTCCGCGGCGCGCGCTTCAATGGAAACCGGCAAGTGGCTCAACTTTTGGGGAGAAATCCAGCCTTGCCGATGCCTGTAAAAGGCCCAGTTCTCCCAAGCGAAGCGACCTTTTTGACCTTTGGGTTTTCACATTTCGGGTTCCCATTCATAGTTATGGCAACCCAAAAGGTGATCAGCGAAGGGGCTACTGACAGAGAGCTGGGAAGCGAAATGATGCTTTTGAGAGCACCTTGTTTTGTAAATGTAAGCAGTTATCTGGAATTATATTGATGAGGGCTACCGCTCCCAAAAGCAGAGTCTTTAGGTATCATGTCTCAGTTGCCTTTCTGATTGGGTAGATACCAAATGATGCGTCCAATCTTGTCTCCATGGAAACTCACTCACTTTCCTATCTGTTTAATGGTTAGATACTAAAGATGAACGTTCGATAGGCAAATGAAGGGACTCATCATCTCATCTCGTTCAGCATACAATCCTAGCTTAATTTTCGTATTCATCTTAGTTTCCAAGATGATAAGCAGTTTTTGAAGGTCATTCTCCCCCGCGGGTTGCCTTGGTGCGCGGTGTCGCTTTGCTACGGGGCGCGCCAGTGTCGGGATAGTCACAACATGGCCCAGAGGTTTGGAATCTTGAGCTTTCTCTGGATCTGAGGGTTTTTGTATTACTTAAGAAGCCTCAACCCCCCCCCCCACCCTTTACCCCCCCACTGCTTTCTTAAATTACACCCTGGGATTTAGGGCCCTTGGGAAATGGCCCATTTTTTAAATATTTTTTTATCTGGAAAATGTGCCTTTAAGGGAGTCAATACCCAGGTGTATTTTTAGGGTGTAATGCAAGAACTCGACTGGAAGGTCGTGGACAGCAGCGCTGAGTTTCTGGAGCTCTCCAGCGACCTGGCGGATGCGGGATCTTTAGATGACGCCGGGCAGCAGAGAGGAACGAAGCGCAGAAGCTCGGGACCCGTGTCCAGTACAAATCAACCACTATGGCACTGAGTCTGGTGAAATTTTGAAATGCGACTCGGCATTGGCAATGGAAGCGGCAATCCATGGCAGAGGTTCTAAAAGTCTGGGGCCCCAATACCAAGTGAGACATAATCAAAGCCTCATACTCAAAAGCTCCACCCAAAGCAGTGCAGATCAAGCACCATTTGGAGAAGTCAGCCTTTAGCTCAACTGGGGTGGCCCGAGGGGCATTCACTTTCCCAAAATACCGAAGAGCTCACTGAGAATGGTTCCTGTGACAGTCGATCACTGCGGCATACCTTAGAAGGCGGAGCCTGATGGTCTGATGTCGGCTTCTGACACATCTGCACGCTGCCTGAAAAAAGGGTCCCTGGTGCCATCGGGGGAAATTCAGCAGCTACATTGCGTTCGTCCCGCTATCAGCCGAGGACGTGTCTGGCTCCCAGGACATGCTTCGTTCGCGCGAACGGTGCCGGTCGGGTCTAGCCTCGGTCTCAGTCACATCAGAGCTAAATTGGGGGCGCCCCCCAAGGTTCGAAGGGACACCAAGACATCCACCATTTTCCGGGGGTTCGAGCTCACTCTGCCACGTGTGTTGTGAGATCCAGGTGCGTCCATAGATTCATTGCGTGCCGCCTTTGGTGATCCCCAACCTCAGGTCACCATTGGTCAAACCTTTCAGCCACAGATCTCAAAAGGATTCACTGAGAGAGTGGTTTCCCGGCAGGACGCGGAGGAGGGTCAAGTGAACATGCCGCCTGGTCGGAAATGTTTTGCTGGCCGTGTCTCCACCCCGCGGTCCGGACATGCCGTGTCATGCGGCACCCCTTGTCATGTCTTTCATTTTTTGAGCAGATCTCCCATCAAGACAAGTCCAATACTTCCTCATGGGCCACAAGCGCAAATAAGTCTTGGCCTTTTCCCTTGGCATACCGTCCGTCAACGACAGAGCTGTGTCCGCAGCCGCATGGGCTTCGTAAAGTGCCTTGCTTCGCTCCCAACGCTGCTTCCGACCCCTGTCGGTACAGATTCCGCGATCAGGGCGTGCCCCCACTTCAGTGAAGTCGGATGGTAGGCTTTGATGTGGCATGCAATGACCTTGATCTGTTCCAGAGGAGAGTAATATGAAAGCCAGTGTCGCGATATCATTCTTTGTTCAATGGATTCTTGTTCATGTCAAAGCACCCATGTGTTGGATACCAGCCATTCGCGGAGTTTGAGTCAAATTGGCGACCCTTTGCTGGCTCGACTTCGCATCTACCTCAACTGAAACCAGCCATTCATAGGAGCTAGGCTTGAGGCATACCACTTCAAGAGTCAAACCGCCTCACTTCAAGAGGAAGCCATCGTATTGTGAGCAGTCATCTGCAAAGTTGCACATGATTGTCTGTGCGCGTGTGGCATGGTCCCAACCTGTATGTTTCAACAGGAGACCAACATGAACATACCCTTTTGAAATGGGCGAAGTGAACAGTGCCGTTGGCAAGGTGCAAGAGACTCAGGGCAACGCTTGCCCAAAGCCGACGCTTTGGGCATTTGGTTTTTAGGTCCAATCGTTGCCCGGTCCTTGGGCATGACATGGCACCACTGTCACGGGTTTTGCCAAAATGCGCAAGGCTGGTGTCTGCGTCGGGCGCCTTGAGCGGGGCGGGCTCGCTTTCGCCGTCCTCCGGGGCCAACGCCACGGAGACGAGGGAGGCGAGGGCAAGTGCCGAACTGGTTGCAAGAACTTTGAGTTTGCAGGAGTCTTCATGTTTTTTTGGCTTATTCTTCACACTTTTCTGTTGGGTGTTTTTAAAGATATGTGACACCAACAGTGTAGGGGGGGTCCTCCAAAGAGTTGGTTCGGGGCTTGGAGGTTTGCACGGGGGTAAACTTCTCTTTGGAAGGCAACAGGGGTTCACATCCCCCAACATCCACCAATCTAAGCTGCCATGTCGCGGCAAGCTAAACTTGCCCGTGTTCTAAAGTAGGACATGGGCTCCGTTTCCCTATAAATGCTATCCTTTGAAGGGGGGGGTGCGCTTGTGCTTAATTGTGGGACTTGCCTTTTTGCTTGGGCCCAGCCCTCCCCTTGCCGGAGGCTGAGATCCAGGATGATCACAGCGATTCCCATGACGAGGTGTGCCCGGCTATGTTTGATCTGGTTGCAGCCCTGAGGTCATGCCTCCCCTGCACCCTCTTTCTCCCTCCAATGGAGAACCCCGACCGCTCAGCCCTTGACAACAATGCTTGTTGAGATCGGAAAGGAGGAAAATTGGCTTTCCGTAGACATCTGGATGTCTCTTTTTTAGGGGACCCGCCCGGTTTTCTTTTCGTTCCCTTTACAGCCATCCAAAAAGGTACCCTCAAAATAGACAGACCCGTATGGGACCCCATTCTGGCTTCAAAACGTCCGAGTTTCGACTTGGACATGGAGTCAAAGAGCTGAACCTTTGTCAACACCTGATCCTGGAATAACCCCCCTATGTAGGGCTGTTACTTGGGGATTCCTTGATTTCAGACTTACCTGTTGAGACGGCAAACTCCAAAGGTTTTATTGGCAGGTGTCTTTTTGCTCACGTCGCAAAGCATGTTCAAGCCTAAAATCGGCCAGTCGGCTCAGAGTGCTCCGTGATAGCATGATAAAAACTCCTTGCGTTGATTGCAGTCCTGGCGATGGCCTCCCCACCACCTCACCCCACCCCAGGGGTTCTCAGCTTGCAGCGCAGGCCGCCCCCAAACTGCACCGGAAGCGCGCGGCCCATTTGGCGCGCATGGCAGAGGCTCGGGGCGGTTTGCGCGGTTGGCGCGGTTTGCGAGGGATTGGCTTCGGGCTGAAGGTCGGGCAGATCCAAGGGGGACTCTTTGTGAATTGCTCATGATTTTCCTTGAGTGGTAAAAGCGGAACACCATGTTACATGAGCAATGCTCATGCAATGTCTATTTTTGAATTGGGCGGGATCGTGGGGCCAAGCTTGGGGAGGCATATCTACTTGATGAAGCAAGCAGGGACTGGGCGGAAGCATACGTTTTTAAGAGGAATATCCTTTTGGGAAATAGACCCCCTCAGGAAGATTGCAGAGGAGTACATTTCCCTTTCGTGGTGTAAATATCACACTGATACTGAAGAGGAACTCTCAGCAACCCTTTTGTGTCTCATAAAAAATCTCTCCCAAAAGTGAGGTAGTCACTAAAGACGAACGGATTTGTTGGGCGCTCCCAAAATTGGCCCTCCTCCCCGAATTGCCTTGCGGTAAGGGGAAGGGTGAACCAATCACTTGCGAACACTTTGCGGTAACCCGGAGGCCAGAGGTGAATCCCTTCACCGGTGCTCGATGCACTGAGGTCAGCGAGGCTTAGGTCAGATAGGCGAGCGGTAAGTTGTGCCAGTCACAGACTAAGTGGGGGAGTCTGATTGGGGACTGATAGCCAGCTTTCGGAGTCCGTTTCCTATAAGCAACAAGTTCAGCTTGCCCTTGGGTAGTTCGGACCCTTGGCAACCTCGGCTCCTCTTAAGACAAAATGAGAAGGTTGCTTTGGAACGCGAGTTCGCGAGCGAATTGCTCAGGCGCCACTGCCCAAGCCTCACCCGCAGGACTTTTGCCGGGGAGGCGGGCAGTAAGCTGGGGCGACAGCTTGGGCCCCTTTTTCAGAGTCAAAGAAGGGGAGTTTGTATCTTCTGGACCTGTTGGGCTGCAATTCAGGATGATTCACCCGTTTACTCTTACAGCTTCTTGAAACAAGTTGCTACACAGGTGTGTGTGTGTGTATAATATATATATATATATATGATATACATGTATATATTATTGTATGTTATTTCGCGGACACACACACACACACACACATTCACGCGCACACACACACAATCCTCCGATAAAAAACCCCAAAAGAGGCCACAGCTTCTCAGGCAAGCCACGTAGCTGCGATTCAACACACCCGGTTTCGCCCACCAGACCAGCTGCCCGGGAAGTGTCCCTTCGAGGAGGCGCCGGGCCGTCGTATCTGAGCTTCGCGTCGGGAGGTCGATCTCTGGGTCAGTGCTCGGAGACATGTGCGACGTGTGAAAGTGAAGGATTCCAAGCCAGGTGGCAAATCCACCTGGCTTGGTGCTAAGTTGGAGCCATGGGAGACGTAGCAGTGACTATGGGCAATCACCTTCCCAGATGTTCCTCGCCTAAAATGGGATGAGGAGCCCAAAGCATGGCTTTCGAGTCTTCTTTTTGGTTCCTCTGAAAACAGGAGCCCAAGGGGTCCTTGACTTCCGGAACCACCCCAGTTGAAATGAGTTGAAGATAGTAAGCAGTGATTTGTGCAGAATCAGATCGCCAACAAACCTGAACCACAGCCGCATATTGGGATCCAGCTGAGCAACTTAGATCTGTTTGATGGGATGTGTGGCTGCTTTCGGGCAGGTTCGACCCGTTTGCAGAGGAAGAAGTCTGAAAACATGTTGATGCACACTGATGTTGTTTGGTATGTCTGCGTGCTTTGTGCAAGGATGTTGCAGCTCGGTGTAACCTGACTTGGCTTTTTGGGTTGACAGAATTCGGCAAATGAACAACAGCGAACACATTGACGGATCGCTGCCTTCGCAACAAGCTGCCTGAAATCTAACACAGTTTTTGGAGAGTGCCCTGTGCTGCCCTATTTGAGATATCTGGCCAAACAAGCAAATCAAGATTTCTTGTTGTGCTTTGCAGTCATGCTCACAAAGCATCCCTTTGAGCATCTGCAACAGCAGATTGCAGCAAGCCAATATGGCCTGTCCGTGTTTGAGAAATGGGTGATAGTTTCAGGCTTTCCCAACCACCGGGATCCGCTGGATGACTCGGCACAATGGGAATCCAGCTTTCGCTGACCAATCTTTTTGCCGCAAAACTCTCCGTCCGGCCAGGACGACGGCTCGGCTGCACCGCAGGGCGAGCCACAGGACGAATGGCGTTCCAGGGGTCAGCAGCGCATGTGAGAAGTGCAGGGGAACGTGCTGCGCAGAGATTGTGCTTTTATTGCGTAGCACTCGGCTGGCACTACATAGCATGCATTTGGACGATATACTTACGTGCAAATATTATATATACACGTGTATACATGTATATATATATATATATACACATATACACATATTTATTTTTTGGTACCCACTCCCAAAGAACAAGCGCAACCTTTTTGGAGAAGTTGCCGGTATTTCTAGCGAATTCAGACTTATTTAGGGGTCTGAAAAAGACGCAACAAAAGAAGGGCAATTCCAAGGCAAGTACTCTGGACGTTTCATGCTCTGGACAAACTCTCAAACCCCGAAAAACACTAGCCCTATCTTCCATTCTCCAGGAATGGGTGATGAAGGACGAAGAAAGCCAATCAGTAAACATCTAGACTTGTATTACTTAGTTGGAATCTATTATTTATGATCTGGATTCATCTTTGGAATCTCCGGCACATGAATATCAGTCCTTGTAAGAATAGACTTATATTCATCAGCACATAGGGTTATATCTCCAGACACCAGAACCTCTATAATGAACGCATTGCATTGCATGGCGCTCTTATGAGTTTCTTTTTCGTTTGGCCTGGCTTGTTTGAAGGATTTGGGAGTTTTTGTACCTATTTGTCAAGGATGTCCAGAAGTGGTGTGTAGAGTCAATACTTTGTCTATCATATTTGGTTTGCGGTCATATTCTTTTACTACTCCGTTCTTTACCTTCAGGTGTTGGAGGTGGTCCAGACACTATATCCACCACTATCCACTTTGTGTATGACCTTATCACCTTCAAGTACAGGAAATCACCTATGCATTTCATGTTCTGCTTTTTACGGTTAATGATCTTTGCTAAGCAAATGCGCTTTGCCATGTCATCCATTTCGCTTCTTGGAAGTCTTGTTTGGGGACATTGTTTGTGTACGGTTGGTTTTTAGACAGTGATATAGGAGCTTATTGCAAATGAGTTTCAATCTTTTTATCTTTGCGAAGGCACCACAATTTTTAATGTGGCTTTTTACATATCTCTCCAATCTATTTTTGGCACCTTCGACTTACTTCTGTCATCTTTCTTCTCTTTTTATGTTTACTATAGGCGGTCAGCGAAAATACTTCCAGGACATGCTGCGGTGGATCTAGGATTACATGCTACGTGTTATGCTGTAGCACATTGTCCTTGTGTTGTTTGCTATCTTCCCTAGAATGTTCTTCTATGGAGAAAACACGTTGGTACCAATAATTTATTACTTTCATCCTCATGTCTCTCTCTCTCTCGCTCTCTCTCTCTTTCGTTTTCATTGTATTCAAAATTGATTGCTATTCTTCTTACCTTTTTCCCAGTGAATTTCGCAGGATTTCCAGTTATGCCAAGAAGTTTCCCATCCTTTCCAGATTATTTTTTTCGCACGCAGATCAAACAGATCGGTTTGGGGGGATAGCACACAAATGCTGAGCCCCCCCCCCCGTATGTCCCATTTGCAAATCCAAAACGCGTGTTTCTTGAACAATGTTCCACTTGCAGGTCATTGCATATCATTCCGAAGTAGAATTTCTATAAAAGAAGAGTCCCTCGTTAGCAAATTCTATTTAAATTCTATTGAAATTAAACCGACACCTCATTGGAAAAGGACTGCATATTTAAGTTCCAATTTTATAATTGAAGTTCTGATCAATTTCTTTCGCTGTTAAGTTCTATGAAAACAACATATAAACTTGACTATCATGTTTGGAAAGGAATTCCTCCTATTTGGTATGAACAGGAGCCTTGAAAGGATTTGAGGGAGCTTTATTGAGGAGCTTCGTAAGAGGCCTTATTTACACGCTGACGCGACACAGCCGGCCACCGGGCACCTGGCCCTGCCTGTTCTGTCACTTCCCTGTCCTTTAATTCGGATGAGATGCCGAGATTTGAACCTCACTTCCTTTGCGCGTCTTTCCTGCAACTTTGAGAGTTTCCTGGCATTTCCCTTTGCTTCCTGTGCGTTTGAGCTCCCTGCACTTCCTTGAGCGCCGTGTCAGTCGCATTTCTCCCCCCTGTAAGCACCCCAGCGCGAAGCCTTGTGCAAACTGCTCGACAGCTAAAACCACAGAAGCGCGCCAACACGCCAAACCCACATGCGCAGGTTGAAGCAGCATGCGCGCGCTAGAACGGAAACAGGGCGGAAGTTGCCCCCAGGGCGCTTCTCAGTCATGTGCCTCTGCAGACATGGAGAAGAAGCAGCAGTCGCGATTGCAAACGCGCTCGAAAGGGAGGAGGCGGCAAGTTGCCCACAGGGCGCTTCTCAGTCATAGACCGCTTCAGCCATGGAGAAAAGGCGATGGTCGCGCCAGCCAGGGAATGCGCATGGTGTCAGAGCCGAAAAGGCCGCAGTTGCTTCCGTTGGATGTTTCCCGCCCTGTCACTTCATTTTCCTGCATTTGAAGTGTCATCTGTTTCACTGCCCTTCAGTCGCTACTCGTCATCTACCGGAAAGTTGCCCGCAGGGTGCTTCCAAGTCGAAAAAGAAGTGGAAGGAGGGCGGGGGCCAGCCCGTCAGGCCCGCTCCTGCACTTCCAGTCCCTGCACGTCCTTGCCTTTCCTGTTACTTGAGCCCCGTCCAGGTTCCCATCCATGTCCGAGCCATCCCATCTGCTTTCTCCTTTAGTGTACTTTGTTTTTTTAGTTGCCATCAATCATCCATCCATTTTCCACCAGTTCCATCCCTTCCATACATTATTATGCATCCATTCTCCAACACTGTTCCACCCGCTTCCACAAGCTGCCAGCAGTCGCCATGCATGTTGCAAGAGCAGTTTGGCAGTTGTAAGGGAAGCCGAGTGAAGCTAAGGGACGCCAGACAGCACAAGCAGATTGATCACCCCGCATCAGTTGACCGCGCGCTGCACAGCGTCGCAAGGCATTTTGCAAGCGCAGTTTGGCAGTTTTAAGGGAGGCCGAGTGAAGCCAAGGGAGCGCCTGAAAATGTTCGTTGCACAAGCAGCAGCATGTTTCACATAGCAGCCACCAATAATGTTCATCGTGCTTGCAGCAACATGTTTCACGCGGCAGCTCTTGATGACGTTCGCCGCAGAAGCAGCAACATTTCTCGCGCAGCAGCTTTCAAAAACATTCGTCGCATCAGCAGCAACATGTGTCACACAGCAGCTTCTGAAAACGTTAGTCGCTCAAGCAGCAACATGTGTCACGCAACAGCCACGTCGGACTAGCAGCAATCACACAACAGATTCGTCGCACTAGCTGCGATGGAACTTTTTTTTTTTTGTCGCAAAGCCTTGCAGGCTATTTACAAGGGACAAAAAAAGCAACAGTAGGAAGCAAGGTCCACTTCAGTAACAAGCCCTTGGCTGGGCGCCAGGTTTTTGGAAACCAGCTCTGCGGGCAAGCCAACCCTCGAACCGTTTCAGCCAAGCAAAGCGCCGCAAACAAACCTGTCGTTGAGGGTTGTTTCAATAGTCTGGTTTCACCTGAACGTGGCGCGACTCTTTCACTGTAAGACACGAAAAAAAGAATATGAAAACACCTTGGGAATGTCACATGTTGCGCATGATTACTCACAAAGGCAGGGCCAACTTGCGGTGCTTCTCTCGCAGCAGTTGCAGCTCGCAGCTCAGACTTGTCCAAACTGTTAGACAGCTGGGGCCGCGCCCGAAACACGCCAACAGGCTTCAGCCACAGGAGTCAAGCATCACGCACGGTCTAGCGCCGGAAGAAGGGGAAAGTTGCCCGCGGGGCGGACAAGGAGCTGCAGGCTGGTGACAGTTGCCCATGGGGCGCTGGTAAGTGATTTAGCAGCGCATGGCAAGTGGGGCTGGGCACAGAGCCGGGGGTGTAGTCGTGGCAGTTCCTGGAGATGGCTGGTGCCTCTTCCATGCGGTGGCAAGGTACGGGGCCAGGCCTGGAGCAGGTGCTAGGCCGCGCTGGTGTCTGCGTGCTGCAGCGGAGATCTACTTGCAGGCGCTAGAGTGGCTGTGGGCGGCGCTGGCTGGACCAGATGCCGCAGCAACTGAAGCAGCTTGCGTGCCAGAAACGGAGGCGGAGTTGGAGCGACACCGAGACTTCGTTCGACGGCGCGGTGGCGTGGAGGCACAGGTTCCAGACGCCAAGCTGGTGCTGTGGAGTAAGGTGCTGGCTGTGGTGGAGCAGCCTAACGGTCTGGACTCCTTCCATCATGGGACCAGCGCAGAATTGTGGGCGCTCACCCAGCAGTTCGACTTCGATGCTATAGTATGGAGCGGCGTCCCTGACGCGAACTACTGGGCACGAACTCAGACTCGTGTCACGGACGAAGAATGCCGGACGGCAGTGGCTCGGCTCCCGACCGTGCTGCAGCTGCTGCACCGAGAGATCGGCAACGTGGGGCACTATGATCTGCTCGGGACCGATGCCGTGTCTCCGCAGCCGTTTGCGCGGACACCTTGGGTGAGGCGGTGGGCCGAAGGCGGCAGTGAAGCCATGTGGGAAGTGCTAGGCATGCCAAGGCGGCCCGAGCGCATCCATGCTCCAATTCCTGAAGCGGAGGCGGACGTCTGGTCCGAGCCAGAAACCAAGTGTGACGTGGTCTTGTCAGACAAAAACTCTGACAAAATAGACATGGAAACCGATAGTGTGCCAAGGCAGCCCGAGCGCATCCATGCTCCAATTCCTGAAGCGGAGGCGGACGTCTGGTCCGAGCCAGAAACCAACAGTGACGTGCCCTTGTCAGACAAAAACTCTGACAAAATAGAGATGGAAACCGATAGTGTGCAGTCGTGGGACTCGCAGGATGCCAGCGACGAAGCTGAAGAGCTCGGCCCGGTGGCGGTGGAAGCCAGCAAGACGTGGACCACCCTGGAAGACACAGACGTCCACCTTGCCGAGCAAGTGGCATCCCTGCTGCGGCCGACGCCGCTGCTGCCGCCGCCGCTCCCGGCCTGGAGTGCCAGCATGTGCGCGCCTGCCTCAGGAATAGTCTACC